CAGAATTTTTAGAGCCAATCTTCAATCATTAATGTTTGAATACTTGATGTAGGACTCTTCAGAAGATAGATTTTGGGGCTATAAGGCAGTTGTGCGGTTAACAGCCACACAGATCTCTACTCTGGATGCAAGAAGTCTATTTAGAAAAATGGAAATGTTCCAAATTTGGAATGATTTGTAAGATGAAATCATCTTTCCCAAGCCATTGGGCATTCTGATTGCTATACCAAATGAAATATTGGCCTGTCTCTTTGAAAAATATTTCTGGATGTTATCAGGTGATTGCAAGGAAAATTCCAAATGAGCATTTAGTATTGCCATCTTTGGTTCTTTTTGAACTGCCTTTTCTTTATATATTTTTCTTTTTTCCACTTTCTTCATTTCTCTCTGTCTCTCTCTCACACACACACACATACACATACAACTAAAATATGCTGCATTGCTTACTACCCTATTTACTTTATTTCAGTCTACTTTATCCTGACTTAAATTCCTAGAATAAAAATAGAAGAATCATAGTAAATCTCAGTGGCTACCTTAGAATAAACTATATGTTGAATTGTGAACAAAGTAAAACAAAACAAAACAAACAAAAAAAGCCCAGAAAATATTTTCAGAATATTGAAAATGACTACATTGAAAATCTTAATTATAGTAAGAATAAAAATACAGTATTGTTCTTTCTTTTTAAGTAAATGGTTATGTAGACTTTGCATATAAGCACCCTATTATATCACAATAGTTAGTTGAGGGTGAAGGTTCATTCTCTGAGCTTGTGGGCTGGTTTTTGAACAGTTTGTTACCAGGCTAGGTAACATCTTCAGAAGAATTTAGGGGATGTCAGTGATTTAGGGGATGACAATAGTTAAGTGTATAAATCAAAAAACTAGGAAGATAAAAAAGACCTTGATTCCTGGTGATTTCATCGAAATGGTGTAATTTCATTGGGGGCCATACAGAAATAGTTTACCATTAATTTCTTCTTTCCAATTTCCTTCTTATTTTTTAACTTCGCAGTGTAGCCTACAATCTTGGCATTTTGTGGGCTTTCTCAACCACATATTAAGCAGTCCTAATTCAGGTTATTTTTTTTTCAAGGTTAACCAAGGCAGCCCTTGGCATTTTCCATCACTTTATAGTATATTGAATGAGTTCATGAAATCCATAAATTTGTGAATGCCTCCAATCTGTCACTGTTTGTCAAAAAAAAAAAATTCATGGATATGTTTCAGATCACCAGATGTTAAGCTCAATTTAGAGGAGACTTTCTCTTTTCTTATGTGAGAACTGACAATGTTACACTAAACAAAGTTGGCCATTTTGTCTGTCCCAAACCTGTGGGTAGCAAGGGTGATAGTTCTTCCCTACACAAGGATTTAGGACTATGGTGTCAGAGCAGGGGTGTTTTCTCCCAGATGCTATTCTGGTGTGCGAGAAAAGTTACGACTGGTGCCAGGAGTAAGTTCCTTCTTGTGCCAAATAGCAAATTCTGTGATTATGAGGTAAACTCCTAGCTACTCTTTAATGGCTAAAAAATGCAAAGCCACAATATGTATTTAACACAGCATATGGATTGTCTCTGTGGAGAAGATCTGGATGGGAAATAAGAGAGGGTGGATGTTGAAAGGAGAGGGGATTTGAAAACTGATTTTATGTCCTAATAGTTATTAAAACAGGGACTACATTCAAACATGTTAAACCAAAACCAGATAGTGTGTAGGATGTGTTAATTGAACCAGCATCGTTTCCTTTTTGGCTGAGAATGCTGAAAGATTAAATTGAAATATTTCATTTAATGAATATTTCATTTAATTCAGTTTTCTGTTCAGGCATGCCTATGTAAGGAAGGTGGGTGGTTTTCAAATGTGAGCAGTAATGGGAAGAGCTGAAGTTTGCTTAAAGTAAGTTCTACCTGCAAGAAGTAAGGTTGTGATGAACTGTAAAGCAAAAATGGAGCATCTTATTTTCTGTTCTGTTGAGGGCAGTTTGAAGAAAGCAATGGGTGGGGTTGGAGTCAAAAGCAGGAGGGAACCTGTCTGCCACGCCCTCTCGCTTTCTGGTATGGTCATCTCATTTTTCAGATGTCTAAAATTATTCTATAGAGAGAGAGACTGTTCTTGGTATGGATTGTCCAACAAAATAGAATGCCCATTTGTGTGCTTTAAATTTAGGTTAGCTTTATGCTTGCTTAACTGTGTCAGCTTCTTCCTCTAGAAAATAATCTATTGTAATCTGGAAGAAAATGATGTTGAGAGTACTCTTGTGAGATGAATTTTTATTTTAAAAAATTGTCCTTAGGAAACAATCTTGAATACAAACAGCTTTGTTAGCTATGCATTTAGAACAACTCTGCATTTCTGGTTCTGTTTGCAGCTGGAAAATAGAAAACCAGCTCTCCTGTTTTTGAAAATTTCAGAGGCTGGTAGGACTGCCACAAGCAGTAGGAATAGCCACTAGTGTTCTAATTTGGATTGTACTGATCGTACTGTGTTGTTTTTAATCCAAAAAAAGCACCTGACTGATGTTCTTCCATCCTGGCTATTTAAGCTGCCTATTTAGCCCTTGCAAGTGGTTTAGGTTAAAGCCTTGGACTTCTCCAAAGAAACAGTCAGAGAGGCCATTGGGTTCCTTGCTATGGTAACTGCTAGGAATGTGAGTTGCATCAACTCAGGCTTAATCAAATTTTTGTGGATGGGCGTGCTGTAGAGAAATATCCAAATTAGCCAACAATGAACAACAAACAGGAATGGACAAATCCAACAGCAATGGAGGCATAATTGCTCTGGCCTGATTGTAGTTATATTTCGGCAGTGAACAGGGACATCAAGCAAATGTATAAGAACACAAATGCTGGTCATCATTAGTCTCTGCCAGATTCCTGATGTGAGATTAATTTTTGAGAGGGACCATTCTTTGACTTGCAGAAAGGCTAAAGAGATGTGCATAATCTAAGTAAGCAATCAAGCTCATAAACAGAGAAACGTAATAGAAAATCTTGACTGCTGCTGCCAGTAAAGGAAGACCTATCATTCATATTAGAATAAATGCGTACGAGTGTGTATAATGTAGAAGAAACTGATGAGCGATGGGAGGTGTGAGGAGCTACAGGAAACAGATGGAAGACCTAAATTGCCAGTGTGATATCTCTACATTGGAAGGACAACATAGAGGTATTACCAGCTGAGCTGCTGTATCTGTGAATAATTTGGTGAGGCATATTTAGAAGATTCTGGCTTCCATTTCACAGCCTCAGAGGATAATACAAAGATGTACATCAGCTGAGCATAGTACAGAAAAAGAAATTTTGGGAATAGAACAGCAAGCCAAATAAATGAAAGAGATGGGATAAGAACAGGATATTCAGCTAAGTCTCCTTTAACCAATACAATTCAAAATACCTTTCCAGCCTCAAATGCCTACCGTCCAATCAAGCTATCCTTGCTTTCATCACATCCATGCACTGATTCAGTTCTGAAAGGAACACAAGAAAGCTTCCTGTTAAATTTCCTTTGATCTCAATCCAATTGCAACTGCAATTGTTCTTTGCCTGAGATGGGGCAAGGGGATGAAACACCTGTTTGTTTAAGCCCAGTTTTATGTATAAAACAAGGTGGAGATGACTGAAAGGTGGGGGAATGGTATATTGTTGGTAGAAAGCGGAATTCTGCTAACATGGGAATTTATCTTTTCCCCCCCCAAAGATATATTATTTCTTGAATGACAGAAATTCTATTAAAGTCTGCTTTGTGAGAGTAAGAATACAGTTTGACTTCCATAAAGCTGTGAGAAGGGGGCCACTGAGCTCTTTAAATGTCATCAAGGCCAATTGTATTGATTACATGCTGTCTCTAAGGCAATGCCAGAATTCTTCACAGAGTAATAAATATGCTTGCTGAGACTTGATTTGCTTGGCAACATATTTCAGGGATTGTGAATAAAATAAGGCAAGCAGACTGATAGGAAGACACAAGACGATGGGAAAGGAAAGGCTAATAGATCACTGTGTGAAAAGAAAGTTATATAGCCAGCCCTTGACTTACAGTCACAATTGAGCTCCACAAGTCTGTTGCTAAATGAGGCAGTTGTTAAGTGAGTTGCACCTCATTTTACAACCTTTTTCCCACAATTGTTAAGTGAATCACTGCAGTTGTTAAGTGAAATCATCAAGAGAATCTGGGTTCCCCCATTGACTTTGCTTGTTGAAAGCCAGCTGGGAAGATTACAAGTAGTGATCACATGACCCCAGGAGAGTGCAGCTGTCTTAAATACATGGCAGTTGCCAAGCACCTGAATTTTGATCATGTGACCATGGGGATTAAGTGTGAAAAATGGACTTGAATCACTTTTTTCAGTACTGTTGTGACTTTGAGTGGTCTCTAAACAAATAGTTGTAAATCAAGGACTACCTGTAACCGGATGTATGAACAGATCCAAATGGGGAGGACTGATTGCTAACGGAATCCCTCAGGACGGCTGCCTCATCACTGTACCAAATTGCCATTGGTGTAACTTATACTAACTAGCAAACATCACTTCATTCTGCTATTTTTCCTGTAGGAATTTGTCTGGAATATCTAACATGGAATGTCTTTAATCCTAATCATTATTACATGTTGCAATGCCATTACTTCAGATCTGTAAATTATAACTGAGATCATGTTCCTAATATGTATTTTGTAGGTTCTCTGTCTTTATATTTACCAATATACTACAGTTTTGAAAAGCCCTGCTGGCTTTTCCCATTTGTACACATACTGTTGAAATCTTGGCTTTGACTCATTTGCCTATTTCTCATTGGTAACACAGTTTATTCTGATAATTTTATATAGCAATACAGTATGTTGCAATGGTATATTTATCTAGGTTAAGGTATTTCTCATAGCTCTTAAAGGTAGTCATTTAATAAAGGTAGAAATCAGAAAAAAACATGCTACCTCATAATATGTGGATTGTTATGTTAAATTTATCCTTATGCTTCAATAGATCTATTTCAGTGCCTCGGTCCAGTCCCTTCATTGCTGTGTCAAAGTGGGACATAGACGATCAATAAAGGATTTCTTCTGCCATGTGATGAAGGGCTCATTAAGATGGGATTGGGTAGCCTGCTGGCTGCTGTATTCACATAATTTGATCTGTAACCTCACCTACCCTCTGGGTATCTATGGAGACAAAAATTAAAGTTGCTAAATAATTCCATTCTCAATGGGCTAAGTTACTGTAATTTCTTATTCAAGACACAGACCTACTTGAAATCAAGTAAAAGCTTGCACAAAGGCAATTCATTTGATTTTATTGCTGTGATGACTGAAATGTGATCTGCAGAATGATGGGATCCATCTTTACAAGGTGCTAAAAGCAGAGTTGAGTTTCGTGAGCTTCTGAGTCGGTGTAATACCCCTGTGGGAATCTGCGGTCATTCGTTGTGAAGAGTCAGTCCAACCAAATAGGCAAGATTTTATTGCAGCTGCTTGCAAGTGAAATATGGCAACTACTATTACACCTGTTAGGAACAAAATGTACTGTATACTGTTTGCCAGCTAAAACATTATATAATGATCTAGCTCAAATAATGAGCCATAGGGAAAATAGAAACCTTCTTTTTTTTCTTTTTTTTTTATTGAAAAGGTTTTCAAATACAAATTTTTCCCCCTTTTTCCCCCCCCTCCCCCCCCTCCCTAACCCCCCCTCCCCACCCTTCCCCCCCTGTGACTTCTTCGTAACAAAAAAAAACCCTAATTCATAACAGATTACTTACTCCCTCCTCAAAATACTGACCTTTACTTACTAAAAGTATTATAAATCCCCCTTTATCCATACATTTCAGAAAAGAAGAAGAGAAAAAAAACAAAAAAAACCAAATACATTATACTATAACTATTATAAAATAACTTCTAATTTAGCATAATAGTGTTTTATATCTATACATTATTGCAACAATTCAAAACCACCTTCCACTTTAAAACTATACGATAAGTCCTACTTTAATAACATTTCAAAGCGGGCTCCCCATAAAATCTAATTTAACATTTATTCCACTCTATCCATTTCCTCCACTCCCCTAAATGTATCACTTAAAAATCCCTTTTCTTAAACTAATCAGTCTGTAGCTAGCTTATTCACCCACTGTCTTACAAATTTACCATACACAACAATTCTTGATATCTTTAATTCACTGCCCACACTACTTAAAAATATATATATATATATATTCCATTATATCTAAATAAAAAAAGAAAAGACAATAACTTTAGATTTATAGTCCATATAATATCTTCTTGAAGTCTTTCCACTGGATTGTTAAAACCAACATCCATAACAGGGTAACATAGCTTGCTGATGCAACAGTTTATTCAAGATCTCCAATCATATCTGCCCCCATCAGTAGTAAACATCTTCTTATATATATAAAAGTAAAAACAACCACCCGAGTGACATTATAATTATATTCCATATAATAATAATTGTGGGTTTCATCAGGATTATTAATTTCCATCATCGTATTGGGTAACAACCCGATCTTCTGCATGTCCCAATGTGATTCTCTTGCCTTATAATTCAAGATAATTATAATATGTTTATCAACACAAAAAGAAGTTTCAAAGTAGATAATTCAAAACCATCAATTTAAGGCTCTTTCCATGTCCCAAAATTACGGCAATGCAGAGATCTGCCACTATCCTCAGGATGATATTGACCAATATGTCGCCTCCTCTATGTTTTCACATAATCATTCATATTTTAAAATCACTGGCTTCACTGTTGCTTGGATTAGAAATTTCTATTTTTGTACAACCTATTTCTTTTTTTGTTTTCTTTTTGTGGGTTTGACTTCCATCCTAATTTTTTGTGTCTCGCATTTCTTTTTTATCCCTTGTATATCCTCTAATTGGTTTCCATGCTTGTCCTTGCCTTGATAAGTCATCACATTAAAATCAGATGGCACTTCTCTCAAATTTGTAGATAATCCAGCTGGGGTATCCGATAAATCCAAAGGCAATTTATCTGGTACAATCTCTGTCTTTAGTTCCAGCTCCTTCTGCTTATCCTGTATTATATCTGAAGACGTTAAATTCATTTTCAACCTATTTTGATAAAATTCTTCCGCTCTTTCAACAGTATTTAACTGGTATCTTTCTCCTTGATATCTCAATATAATACCAACTGGGACGTCCCACCGGAATTGAATATTTCTCCTTTTTAACTCAGACACCAGAAAGCCAAATTTCTTCCTTTCCATTAATATCTTAGGTGGGAGTTCCTTATAAATCCAAATCTTTCTTCCATACAATTGCAAATTAGAATTGAAGGAATTTTGCACAATTTTATTCCTAATTTCTTTATCTGAAAAATAGATTACCACATCTCTAGGCAATTGCCTTTGCTTGGCAGTCCAGGAGTTTATTCGATAAGCTCTGTCAATCCTACAAAACACTTCCTCAGGTTGAATCTTTAAAATCCCAGCTAGAAATTCAGAAGATATTTTCCTTAAGTCATCTCTGTTATTTTCCTGCAAACCTCTAAGTCTTATTGCATATTCTGTGAAATTATGTTGTATCTTTAGAACCTCATTTTCAATCCTCTGTTGCAGATTTTCTACATTACCAGACTTTTGGTCAGCATCCATTTTAAATTTTTCTTCTGAACTATAATCCTGAATATTTAACAAATCATTTTCAATTTTTTGAATTCTATTGTCCAATTTATCTTGAATTTCATCCATTTTTGACTCTAGTAAATTAGTATTTGTATCCAACCGAATCATGAATTCTGACACTTTTAAAATTTTTTGCTGCAAAAAGTCAAACTTGGATTTCACCAATTCCTTAGTTTCCTGCTTAAATTTTTCAAGTTGCTGATTCACAATCTCATCCCTTCTTTCAATCTCCTCTAAGAGAAATTCTATTATATTAAAATCAGGTTTCTGGGACTGAAGAGTTAAAACTTGTTCCTTTAAATTCTTAGTGGGGGAATCCCCCCCACATATTTGCTTGTCTGACTTCACAAGCCTCAGTGCCATGTTTCCGCCTAAGCAGGCTTTGTTAGAAGAAAAAAAAAAAAAAAACAAGACAAAAGACTTCCAGCCAGCAACAATCAAGCCTCCAGGGGAAAAAGAGAAAAACAAAAACAGGAGCGGAGTTTTGTCTACAAATGTAGCCAGTGGTATTTATTCCGCTACATTGTAATAATAAAAAACGGAAGAACTTTCCCTCTCAAACTCTTCTCCAGCCGCGGCAGACGCCATTTTAAAAAGAAACTTTTTTCCTCTTTCTCTTCCTCTATTCTCTTAAGTAATTTTTAAAAGATAAGTAAAATACTTGCGCTTCAGTATTACAGGTCCAGCTCACATTTTCTTTGAGTAATCTGTCAAATTCGCAGGCTTGCTTTTGACGCCTGGCTCTGCATTAGCAGAGGTCTCCCAAAGCCCGGAGCAGCGGCTGGGGATATGGGGCATCTCATCCGCTCCATCCCAAAAGTAAAAGAAAAACTTTTGGGACTCTGCAGAGAGTTCTACCCACCCCTGCCGGCTCTATCTCCGTTTCCTCATGGGAACGGAGTTTTTTCGAGCCGCCGTTCCGTTGTGAAGGCGGCTCTGACAGGCAGTGGAAGCTGACGATCCCAAAGGAACGTCTGGCGGCGGCCAGCAGCAAACAGGAAGTCCGGAAAATAGAAACCTTCTTAATCAGGCATTAACCACCACCCCTTAAAACCAAGAATCTTCTTTTCTTATGGTGGCACAAAATGTATACAGTTTATTCAGAAAGTATTCAGAGTCTCTTCACTTTTGTCAATTTTGTTATGCTGCAACCTGATTCTACAATTGAAATTCATTTTTTTCTCAATAATCTACACTCAGTACCCCATAATAACGAAGTGAAAACAATTTTAGAAATGTCTGTAAATTTATTAAAAAGAAAAAACTGAAACATCACGTTGACATACAGTAAGTATTCAGACCCTTTGCAACAACACATGAAATTTAACTCTGATGCCTCCCATTTCTCTTGATCGTTGCTCTCATGTTTCTACAGCTTGATTGGAGTCCATCTGTGGTAAATTAAATGGATTCAACATGATTTGGAAAGGCATACATCTCGCTATAGAAGGCCTCACAGCTGACAATGTGTATTGTAGCAGAGCAAAAGCCATGAGGTCAAAGGAACTGCCTGCAGAGCTCAGAGACAGGATTATTGCAAGGCAATTATTGGAAAGCTACAATAAAATTTCTGCTGCACTGAAGATTCCTAAGAGTACAGTGGCCTCCATAATTCTCAAATGGAAGAAGTTTTGTACAACCAGGACTCTTCAAGAGCTTCTCTTCCAGTAAAACTTGGAGAAAGGCCTTAGTAAGAGAAGCGACCAAGAAACCTATGGTCACTCTGACTGAACTCCAGAGGTCATGTGTGGAGATGGGAAAGAGTTCCAGAAGGACAACCATCACTGCAGCCTTTCACCGATCTGGGATTGTGGCAGAGTGGCTAGACAGATGTCTCTCCTAGTGCAAAACACATGAAAGCACACTTGGAGTTTGCAAAGAAGCACCTGAAGGACTCTCAGACTGTGAGGAACAAGATTCTTCTGGTCAGAGGAAACCAAGATTGAACTGTTTGGCCTCAATTCTAAATGTTATGTTTGGAGGAAACCAGGCACTGCTCATCACCTGTCCAATACCATCCCAAAAGTGAAGCATTATGGTAGCAGTATTGTGCTGTGAGGGTGTTTTTCAGCAGCAGGGACTGGGAGACTGGTCAGAGTTGAGGGAAAGCTGAATGGAGTAAAGTACAGGGATATCCTCAATGAAAACCTTTGGCATTCGGGATCTCAGACTGGGCCGAAGGTTTACTTTCCAACATGACAATGATCCTAAGTACACAGCAAAGACAACACAGGAGTGGCTTAGTGACAACTCTGTGAATGTCCTAGAGTGGCCCAGCCAGAGCCCTGACTTGAACCCTATAGAATATCTTTGGAGAGACCTGAAAATGGCTGTTCACTGATGGTCGCCATCCAACCTGACTGACCTTGAGAGGATTTGCAAGAAAGACGGGCAGAAAATCTCCCAATCCAGGTGTGCAAAGCTTGTCACGTCATACCCAAAAAGACTCGAGGCTGTAATTGCTGCCAAAGGTGCTTCAGTAAAGTATTGAGTGAAGGGACTGAATATTTATGCCAATGTGATATTTCAGTTTTTTTCTTTTTAATAAATTTACAGACATTTCTAAAATTCTGTTTTCACTTTGTCATTATGGGGTACTGAGTGTAGATTAATGGGGAAAAAATGAATTTCAACAAATCGGGCTGCAGCATAACAAAATTGACAAAAGTGAAGGGGGTCTGAATACTTTCTGAATGCACTGTATATAGGAATCAAATATATATGCTCCTCAATCCACTCTCTGCCTCTCTCCCATTTCTTTCTGCCTCCTTTCTCCCAGCCTCCTCCCTCAGAACTTGGCTAAGAAAACCCAAAGCAGCAAATTCCCTTCTACAAAGCCACTCTGTTCAGCACAGAAATCTTCTTTCTACGAGGTTGCATTTTTTGACAGTGATTCAGTGGCACGTGAGTGGAAAAGCCTGGAGCCATAGCTATTAGCTAGGCCTAAAAATTCAGCTGCTGTCACACAGTTGTCTCAGCCAGACCAAAGGCATCCAAGTCAGGCCACAGGCAGTTTCAAGAGACAGAAAGGGGAGGGGGGGAAGAAATGGGGCTCTGAACTACAGTTGATGATGGCTGTACCAGATGTGTAGTTCTACTCTAGAGCCCTAAAACTGGGAAGCATATTTGTTTTTCTTAGGTGATACCACCAGATTAACCAGGCCAGGAAATCAACTTCAAAAGAAGGCTAAAACTACTTTTATCAGGAATTGATATAATTACAGAACCTTGCAAGTCTGCTTGTGCTGTATCGGCTCTCCCTTCATAATTTCTGTAAATTGGAAATGTGTCTGTTTAAGCCTCTTGCATTTTTTTTGTGGATTTGTGATTTCTTTTACCCCCTTGTTCTGATAAGGGATTGTACACGTTTCTATCAAAGTTACCTTCCTCCCTGCTATAGAATGCTTGAAACACATAGCTAGTAATAAATGCAGAAGGAATCCCTGAGAACTATTAACCTGAAACTGATTTTCAAGATCCTGCTATAAGGGATAATTTAATTCCAAATTGAGCAGTTTAATAAAATAATATTTTCAATAGGACAATGCATGCATTAAGTACTAGCTTATTTGTAAGTGCCTTTAATGTGGAAAGTATCCAGTGGATGTGATTCATTGAGTGACCAACAGGAAGCCTACAAGTTGCATTTTAGACCACAAATAAATTCCAACTAGTCATCAAGGATTTTACTGAAACTAAAGCAAACTCTGTTTTGAAAAAACTGCTCTTGTACTTACACTTGAGAAAATGTTTTCAGAAGCTGTGAGCAAATGAAATATTCCTCATCTCAGTTACCCTTTTTCCATTTTATATGTACCTAACTGGATCATGGAACAGTATGTCATGCAGATTCTCTAAACCACAAAGATAGGAGTAGATGTAACCCAAGAATTAGATGTACTGGTTTTAAAGTCATCTTTTCCTCCTTAAATCAACCCTGTCCCATATCAAGGTGTGTAAAATCTGTAATGCTTTGTCATCTGTGTATTCTCTTAGAGGCAATTTTAGATGGCCTGCTTTTGGTGGGGAGGAAGGAAGTGTGTTTGGGTATTGTTGACAAGTGTTCACTGACCCCTACACTGCTCATCAGCTAGCCTCTGTGCAGCCCTTTGTCTTCTGTTGTGTGCCCTCTGCTCAACCTCTTCATTTCCCCGAGTTCCTTTATATACATATCACCTTTCTCCATTTTGGACACTACTTTCTCACCAATGTATCAGCAAGGGAGAGGAAAACAGATATTTTTGAATGTTGACAGGATACTAAACATCCTTGGCAATATATAGGAGCAACCAGCGTTGCCAAAACTTAATAAGATTAAGTAAGCCAGAGCATAATATTAAGAGTAAACTTTGGAAATTGCAAATTGCCTAATTAGAACTATGTTAGAATCTTCTGGGCAATCATAGTGAAAATGAACTATTGCTCAGCTATAGGTACGTATATATTTTGCTTCTATGTGAGCCACATTCAGTACATGATATTTCCTATCATGAATGAGGGGGCTGGAAATAATCCCTGCCTAAAGCTCTGGAGAATTACTTCAGTTAAAGTAGACAGTGGTTGAGTTCACATTTTATGTTAAACTATGGTTGGATTTCAACAATAATTTGCTGGTCCTCACATATTGTATTAAATCATCATAACTGGTTGACAAATCAGAAGGCTAGATTTACACAAACACTAAGCCAAAACCAAACCACCTTTTGGCTTGATGGAATGTGCACATTGAATCATTACTACCCTAGCTGGACCAAACATTTAGTTTTCAATAAAACAGCTATATATGGAAAATTTATTTCTAAGTGGGAATGCTGAGTCAGTTTTGTACTGTTTTTAACAGCGCATGGAAAATCTGTCAAGCTTAACACACACACAGACACACAAACCTTCTATATCCAGTAAAACTAGCGAAGTTCTGTGGTATTCTGAAGACTAACCAAGATATTGTGGCAGCATATTTGACAAAGCAGACTCTTGACTTCATGAAAGCTGAAGCGGTGTTTATGATGCCAAGGGTCTCCGTTGTTTTTGCTGCCTGCAACAAGTTCACATAAGCTGCTCTTCTGGAATGTAGGCCTAATTAAACTGGTTGGCAATATGTGTATGAAAAACACCAGGCTTAGCACGTTGAACAGTTTAACAGTGGAATTTGTCACTATAGGATTTTGTGAGTTCCTGCTGATGAAACTGAAAAATTACAATATAATTTTCTACAAAACACTACTACAGTTATCTATAGTTCAGCTTCTGACACCTAGGAGTGTATTTTAAAATCTGTCTCCCTTATAATTGCAAAAGAAAATGATAGAAAAGACAAGAGGATGGCTTTGGTAAGTTAAGCCCCCATGCCCCCCCCCAAAAAAGTGGCCAGAGACATTAAAGAAGAAGCCTCAACTGTTAATCTTCATTTACAGCAGAGAAATAAGGGAAAGAGCTTTTTTCCTCAATTTTAAGTATTATGCAATATACAGCATTTCTATATTGACACATCCTATACCCAGTGATTGGATTGTTTTGGCAGTTTCAGTGTATGAATAGTTGTGCTTTTTATGGATTAGGTGTGGTATACCTGATTAGCTTCTACTTATATGGTCTTCAGTCTGTGGTTAGTGGTTAGTCTGTTGGCGGTTAATGTGTGGAAAGACTGATCCACATAACCTCCTTACTGTGGTTCAAAGATGCACCACTACCATTTGCTGAGGATATGTCTCTCTTTCACGCATTCTGCTGTTGAGACAAGCCAAAACTGATCCAAATCTGTATGGAGAATCCATGCCCCATAGAGAAGGAGGCTTGAGATAATGTGATTACAATTGGGGCCAGTGATCTACTGGGCTACAGTTGGCCCACTAGACCTGCTGTGAACCACCCCTTTCCATCAGGATCACCGGACTTGGATGTTCTGCAGTACCATTTTTCTGCAAGGGAGCCTTGAAGGGCAGCTACTTCCTCCCCATCGCTTTTAAAGCTAGTGATTAGTTACTTGATTTAGAGCAATATTTCTCCAATTTGGCAATCTCACACTTCAACTCTCGGAATTCATGATAGATGGAGTCCACACATCTTAAAGTTGCCAAGTTGGAGAAAAAACAATTTAGAGCAGGGCTGTCAAACTTCTGGCCCCTGGGTCGGATGCGTCACGTGCTGGCCACGCCCATACCCTGTTTAGCAAAGGGGAAAATAGTCCAGATATATCACATGACACCGTGAATTTGACTCCCCTGATTTAGAGGGTGCTGAAGCCCTGAAATTGATGAGCCTATCTCTAATTTAATGTATGTAATTGAAAGGATGGTTGAAAAGGTTCCCCTCTTTAACTTACGGTATGTGGCCTGAGCAACTGGGAATTCCCTTCCCAATGGCCCTGGCTTTTCAGTTCCTCTACACATGGAACATTCTTTTAAAAAAAAATCAATTCCATCATAGAATGTTTACTGGTATGGATATGGCCTAGTCCTAGGCATACAGCATAAAGCTCACACTGATCCAGCATCTCTGCACTCAGGACATACAGAAAAAACTACCATAGTTATTTCATGCCACCTAGTGGCCAATAGATAAATTATCAGTAAATTTGAAACAGTTATGTGTGTGTTTAAAAAAAAAGAAAAAGCTAAAGATTTATCCTGTCCAGTTGTGTCCGAATCTAGGGGGCGATGCTCATCTCGTTTCTTAGTTGAGGGAGCCGGCCTTGTCCAAAGATGTTTCTTTAGTCATGTACCAGCATGAATATATATGCTGAATGGAATGTCATTACCCTCCCACTGAAGTGGTACCTATTTATCTACTTTCATTTGCATGCTTTCAAACTGCTAGGTTGGCAGGAACTGGGTCAAGAACGGGAGCTCACCCTGTCACAAGATACTTGGATCTCGAACTGCCAACCTTCTTGTTGACGAGTCCAGAATCTTAACCTCTAGGCCACCGTGTACTTGACAGCATTTCACAACGTCAACACATTCACTCAGGCCTAACTCTTATTTTCAACTCCAGGCCCAAGAATCCTTATACAGAGGCAGCATCTGAGCTGTGCAAATCCTGGCAGCCACAACATTGCAGTTAATACAGAGAAACTATTGCAATTTAACCATTGTTAGGATAATAGGTCAACAATCTTTGTAAGGGGAAAATGATTAGCTGGAATATCTTGTTGGGATTGTCTGAAATGTGTTCTATATGGGAGTTGGTGACAGCTTTGCACGCAGTTGGTGGCATTCAGATTTCAGCCAGGGGAAAACTGCCAATCACTGCTCTTACAATGTTGCACAGCAAGATTTGGTTTCATCTTGGATCATCGTTTTGCTATTTTATGATCTGAGTGGTTGAGCTTATAAATCCAGTAATATAATTGGAACTCAAAGCAAAAAAAGTTTCTATTATGAACCATAGGTGGTCTGAGACAGATTTCAGCAGAGGTAAATCTCATCAGTGTTTTATGTTGTTTAGTTCTAAGGCCCCACTGTATCCGGATACAAAATTTAGCTTAAAATAAATAAGATGCCTTTGAGTGAATTCTGAGCTTAACAAATGGTTTTCAGCAGCTCAGCTGAATGAGATCACAATCCTTTCATACAAAAAGCCAATTTTTTGTTAACTTTCTCAATGGATAGTTTAGATGAAACAAACAACAAGCTGGCTTAGTTGTTAGAACTGTTAGGCAGTTTAAAAACAGGAATTACAGGTAGCCCTTGACATAACAACCATCTGTTTAATGACCAAAGTTACAACGGTACTGAAAAAAATGACTTGTTACCTCTGTACTCATACTTATCACCACTGCAGCATCTCCACAGTTATGTGATCAAATTTTGGGTGCTTGGCATATGTCTATGATAGTTGCAGCATCCCAGGGTTGTCGTTTGCAATCTTCCTAAGGAGCTTCTGACAAGCAAAGTCAATGGGGGAAGCCAGTTTTGCTTAATGACCACATGATTCATTTAACAACTAGTGATTTGCTTAACAACCATGACAAAAAGGTTGTAAAATGAGACATGATTCACTTAACAACTGTTTTGTTTAATAATGGAAATTTGAGGCTCAATTGTGGTTGTAAATTGAGGACTACTGTACTCTTAAATATTACCAGGAGATCCCAAGCTGATTTCAGTCCATGCCTGCTATGCACAACTGAGATTGCTAATGGCTTAGTTTCTTGTGCAAACAAAGCAAATCGTGGTTTTTAACAAACTCTGGTTAAGAAAATAAGACACAATAAACCAGTCCTAGTGTGGAAGTGAGTGCAGTCTTGCTTGGTCTCAGCCTAGTATGATAGCCTGATAAGTCTTTGAATAAAAGGTATCTTCTTTCCTGCTTTTCACCTCTTCCCTTTACTGAAATCAAACTCTCTCCTTCTTCCTACCCCAAATCCACAATATCCTGAAGATTTTATGTACAAAGAGTCTGAATGCAAAATATTTTCATGTGAGTCGAGTCTCAATGTGTTTGGCTTCATTATGGATGAAGAGACCTGAGTTTTAATAGCAAATCCATTTGACAAGAAAAGCTATTAACCTCTGTTTCTCGTATCAGTATTCTTACAGCAGCACATTTTAGTTAAAGTAATCTTCTTTGTTCCTGGAGGCTGCTTGCAGATAATGCAGACATTATCCTTATCTCTGAAATAAATAGAACAAGGTGGCATTTCAAATATTGTTGCAAGCTTGAAGGAGTCTATAATCAAAGAACTGCAGAAAGGAAAGAGCAGAAAAGGGCAAAAGGCTTTTTTGTTAGCAGCATGCAACAGAAACTCTCCCCAGGATTAATAACCCCAGGTTTTGCTTGTAAGAATAGCTGCCGAGTACTATAAGGAGAAGGAAGAAGAGTGAGACTCATGGTTACATTATTTGTATTCTGCTTTGGAATGGTTGGATTCATCATTGGCATTGCATCTTTCCAACTTCTTTTGTCTCTTTGTATTTCAGTGATCAGAGCAAAGGCTGTCTCTGAAAAAGAGGTGGACTCTGGGAATGACATCTATGGAAACCCCATCAAACGCATCCAATATGAGATCAAACAGATAAAGGTAACAAACAGCTACATGAGAACCCTAGCTTTGGCTATGTGTATACAGACAGTCCCCAGGTTAAGAATGACTTCTGTTCCTAACGCCGTCTTTAACTCAAACTTGTATGGAAGTCGGAACTTGTACTTAACAAACGGACAGCTTGTTACTAAAAAAAAGGGGGGTGACATTGTCCTTCCTTGAGCTGATGAACTGCTGAAGCTGCAAAATGCTTTCAGGAACTGCTGAAAATGGCTGAAAACAGGCTTATATATTAAAAATGCACAGCTTCAGTGGTTCCTGAGAGCATTGCATGGATTCAGCACTTCATCAGCTCAAGGAAGACTACCGTCTGCCATTTTTAGCAATAGGCAGCCTGTTTGTATTCGGAGATAGTCCTTACTTTCTGAACCTGGGGACTGCCTGTGTAGTCTTACACATACACACAAAGAAGAGCAACAGCAATTCAGAGTGAAACTGCAGAGAACCTATAAACCTGTTGTTAGTGCTATTTAATGCTACACATTTTCTATGTTTTGTTTTCATTTCAGAATTCCAGCTGCCCTGTTTAGAACAATTGAAATATTATTAGTTTACCAGTCAGGAATACTTAGGATATCAAAAGAATAAGAAAGACGAAGGGAAAGAAAAGCCTAGTCTTAGCTGATAGTGTAAAAACATTGAAAAACCACTCAAAAGCAAACGAATCAAAGGTTTGACATAAGTTAGAATTAGATCGAATTGGCATTCTATTCCTACACTGATTTAATGAAAGAAGAGCAGAAGAGCTATCATTCTGTATCCTAGAGACACACTGAAACTAGTATGGAAGAAGCAGCCTTTAAGAGCGGTTTTGGTTTCCTGTTTCTGGAATTTTTTTGGAATTGGCCCATTAATGTTACTTTGGCTTCCCTGCATGTCATCTGCAAAAGCTTCTCCCTCTATTGGAGAAGCTATTGGAAACAAATGCTCTTTTTCCATACCTCAGACCTCTACACTAAAATAACTTGATCATAGGTCTCAGTGCAACATCCCATTTGCCAGATTTATTAATGATCTATTACTTTATGAATTTTTAAAATATCCCTAAACATAAAGTTAGCATTTGTCAAATGGAAATAAGTTTGATATAAGATCTCATCTCGAATGATAGAATTCACATACCACATTAACCACAACTTTAGTTTCTAAATCACAATTTATGGCTTGACACAATCTGTGAATCCCCTTGTTGTAATAATGGTTAATGGGTGGCCTTTTAAAAATAAATAGGTGGCAACATTTTATTGGCATATGGATTCATTTCTCCAAGAGGAGAAATAGATAGGAAAAATATACATGCCGGTCAAAGGATTAAAGAAAATTGTGAAAACATTGATCACTCTCTTTTGACTGTGTTTGGGAAAGAACTTGGAATAACATTGGAAACACTAGAATTGTCTTCCCCATCTTGATGTTCTCCAAATGTGCCAGCTCTTACAGTTTCTAGCGCGGATTTCTGGAATGAGAACAGCACATCTGGAGGGTACCAGTTTGAAAAGGCTGTACCAGAAACATATCTGACGTGATGGTTAGCATGAGGAAAGATTTGTGCATGTAAAATCTCTAAAGGGTGTGTTCCATTGTATTTTTTTTTAAAATATTAACTGGTAGGTTGTTGATCTCTACTCTTGGGCTTGCTTCTTTCCCTTTCAGATGTTTAAAGGGCCAGAAGAGGACATTGAATTCATCTTCACAGCTCCCTCCTCAGCAGTGTGTGGAGTGACACTGGATGTTGGTGGCAAGAAGGAATATCTCATTGCAGGTAAAGCATCATAAAATTTCAAAACCTAGAAAAGGAGTAAGAAACAGAAAGGCAATGAAATGGAGGTATGAAAGACAAAATTTTTTTTTCCAAACCTACTTTTTACCAGCACCATATCACTGTAAATACCCAAAATATTTCTGACAATTAGCTTTGCAGTAAGAAATGCAACTTCAAATTTGGTGATGATGTACCTTTGGCAACTTGCTACTGTACTAGGACTTTGCAGTGGTGTTTGACTGGCTGTTTCTTAGAAAATAAAGTAATAAACAGGAACCTAGTCTGACTCTTGTTCAGTTTCCTGCTCAATTAAAGATTCATAGTGAAGGGTCCGTGGTGCTCTTTGAGCTTGGGCTTTTTCTTGCAGCTGTTTCATTACCCCAACTGTGGATAACATCATCAGTGCTAGTAAAGAGTGGGGTTTGCTCTGTTAATATTGTTAATATTTTAGTGTCTTGCCCTGTCAAGTGCTAGTGGGGGTGGTCTTAGAGGTTCTTTGGTTGGGCTGTCTACTGTTTGTTTATTTGGCAGTTCTTTGATTGGGGTATTGTTTACTTGATTGTTGGTCTGATCTTAATTTTGGAGTTATTCTGTGCTCATCTGGATCTGACTGCTGGTGAGGAAGTGTTTTGGTCTTTTTGTTCCCTTTTTGGCTTGTTGATTGTTTCTGTTGCATAGTCTGTAGATATTGTTTTTGTCTGTCTATCCATTGATGGCTAATTTATCAGGGTGTCAGGCTTCTAGAAGATTCATAGCCCAGGATCTTATAATACATCCACAATTGGGGGCTGCCCAGCTTCATCTTAAATCCCTGCAGCTCTCCAAGTTGCAAAATGTCTTCAAATGATTAACTGAAATCTGCTTCCCTAGCAATTTCCACCTATTATTTCTAGAAGAATCGAATAATTCTGTTTCGTCTTCCTCATGATAGCTTGTCAAACATGCAATGTTTGCTATCAATTGCCCATAATTTTCTTTTTTTCAGGCATTGTCACTGCTGAGGGCAGCAAAAGATGGAGGAGTGATGCAACACACAGCCACATGTCATGATGCAAAATCTGTGGCATATGTGCTTGTTGGGACACCAAAATATAACTGTGAAATTTATGTTGAAACCTCACTCTACATGCATCATCATTTTGCCATAATCTCAGTTTGCCACATATGCTTGTGTTTACAGGCTAAACAAAGAAATGTTCTTAATGAGATTTGCCTTTTGGCTCCTTTATCATCCTACTTATTCTTCTCTGGACATATTCCAGTTTTTCAATCTCCTTAAAATGAGATGCCAGAAATGGAGAACATTATTTCATGTGTAGCCTAACATGGAATAGAGTATATATATTGATTTTATTCTATTTTTCAAAAGATGAATGTGAAATGAGCATACTACACATCACAGCCTGAGCTTTCAACTTCATCTTTATTTCCACAAATATATGTTGGTCCTGTATCTTTTAACAGGACTTATAAGAAAAAGTGGCTGATTGTTAGAGGCTTCAGTTAGATGGGGAGACAAAACTGGAATAGCAGGGATTGGTTGATTTGCCAATTTGCTTTGGGGAATAGTTATTTTACAATAGATGATGCCCAATGTGGCAGCCATTTTGTGAATGTTCAGTTTCCCCATAAGGGCAGCCATTTTATGAATCTAAAGTATGATCTGCAAATTTCCAGTGGTGCCTACTAGCTGCCATCCTCATTCCCCCAATTGATTGGAAGCTGTGTCAAGAGAGTTCAATTACTTACAAATCAATGTTTATTTTAGATCTCATTTACAATTTAGGTTTCCCCATCAAATTAAGAGGGTGACCATTGCATAAGTTAACTCTGGAAATAATCAGGAAAATGCCCTCTGGCTTGCAGGCTGCTGTTCATAATTGCTTTGTTCTCTCAGGGAAATCGGAGGGTAATGGCAGGATGCACATCACCCTTTGTGACTTCATCGTTCCTTGGGATTCCCTTAGTGCCACCCAAAAGAAGAGTCTCAACCAGCGGTACCAGATGGGCTGTGAATGCAAGGTAAATCCAAATTTATTTACTTGTTTATTTGATTTCTATAACTGCCCATCTTAACAAGTGATTCTGGGGTGGCTTACATTCATTATCAAATGTAAAACAAAATCAATTAAAACAATACAAAATAGACATATATGGTCATTGAGTAGAACTATTGCCATGGATGTTAATACAGTCAAGAAACTGAGCCCTTAACTCACTCAGAACCCCACATAACCAAGTCTTTATGGCCTTTAAAAAGGCCCACAAGGTTGAGGCCTTCCTATTCTCTGAAGGGAGAATTTTCGTGAGGGCAGAGGCTATGGCAGAGCAGGCACATCTCCTAGTTCCCTGCCAGCCGACATTCCTTGGCTGATGGGACAGTTAATATGCCTAACTCGCTGGACTCAATTGGCAGGTAGAAATGTTTGGGAGAAGACTGTTCCTTAGTTAACCCAGCCCCAAGCCCTGAAGGGCTTTAAATGTGATAACCAACACCTGGAATTGTACCTGGAAGCGCACTGGCAGTCAATGCCACTCACATACTGTAGCAGTGGTGTTAACATGCATTGAGCATCCAACACCTTTTACTGCTCGTGCAACCGCATGCTGCATCAGTTGAAGCTTCTGAATGCTCCAGGGCAGTCCCCTGTAAAGCGCATTACAGCAATCCAGAAAAGAGGTCATGAGGCATAAGTGACTGTAAACAAAGCCTCCCAATCCAGGAGCAGGTGCAACTGGCTCACAACTCTAAGATGTGCAAAGGCCCTTCTGGCCACAGTTGCTACCGACCCCCCACCCCACCCCAGATTACACAAAGGGAATGCCACCAAGGCCAGCAGTGGGAAAACCTTTTCTCCAGAAGACCCAAATACCCAATGCCATTCAGTCTGGCTTGAGTTGAAGCCAATTGCATTCCATCTCGACCCTTACAGTCTCCATGCACTGGGGGCAGGACACCCATGGCATCGTTCAGGCAGCTCGGCATGGAGCTATAAAGCTTCCCAATCCCTAATGATCACCTCACCCAGAACCTCATGTAGATGTTAAATAGAAGAGAGAGAACTGGGCCTGGGGTGCCTCACAAAGTAGAGACATGGGTGTGGCTTGGGGGGGTAATGTGACTGGGTGGGTGTGGCCATTTTTTTTTTAACTTTTAAATCCTTTTTTTCGTTTAAACGCCTCTGATGATCCAAGCTGAGTTGCCTGACTGGCAGGTGCTTTTTAAAAAAGCCTCTGCCGATCAGGCAACTCAGTTTGGATCGTCAGAGGCATTTAAAAAAAAAAAAAAGCCTCCAATGATCGCGCGGCTCAGCTGGGCATGGGGGGCGGAGGCAGGAATTTTTGCTACCAGTTCTCCGAACCACCCGCCTCCATCGCTACCGGATCGGGTGATCCGGTCCGAACCGGGAGCATTTCACCCCTGCATTACCCCATCTTGCTCTTGCCATAGGTCATCTGTGAGTGTAGTCAGTGCCATCTTAAACTTGTAACCTGGCCTGAACTCCTTCAACTTTGGACCTCCTGCAAGGAGCAGAAGAAGCATGTTCTTTTAGTCAATGGCTCCTGTTTGCTCTTTAGTTTACTTTCTTGGAGGCAGTGGGAGACTAAAGTATTTATTCAGTTGAGGAACTCCTAACCCAGCCCAATCCCCAAGGATCTGGGTGATGTACAGCCTCAAAACAAAACAAAAAGGCCATGGTAATTAGTACCAAAAATCAGAATCTTAATTCAGAAGGCAGGCTGACATGAAACAGATTTAACTTGCTTCCAGAATTGCAAACAGGTGCCTGGACTACTGCTAGTGAATGATGCACAGATTACTAAGCAGAATTCCTGCTCTCTCTCATTCATACCAGATAGGCAGATTCCTTTCTGGCAAGGTATTGCTCAAGACGTTGCAGTTGAATGAGATCTTGGAAGTGTTCTAGCCCAACACCCTGTCCAAGGCTGTCTTATTCAGGGCTTTAAAACACTTCAAATTGGACCAAGAAGCCTACTGATAACCAATGCAGGCACTTTAAAATGCACATAATTCCATACTGATAGTATTGTCTTGCTAGTCGTCTTGCATGCTAACCTGTCAGATAGCTCAGATGTTTGGTCCAAAATGCTGCAATACATGGAACCTGAATCTAATGCCAGCAGGGTTAATCAGATCTTCAATCGTAATGCTAGGAAATCATTAAGTTATTGGTATCTTTTTCTCTGCAGATTTCCCGCTGCCCCTCCATCCCCTGCTATGTCTCTGCTCAGGACGAGTGTCTGTGGACTGACTGGGTGACGGAGAAGAACATCAATGGACGGCAGGCAAAACACTATGCCTGCATCAAGCGGAGTGATGGTTCCTGTGCGTGGTACCGTGGAGTGGCTCCCCCTAAACAGGAGTTCCTTGACATTGAGGATCCTTGAGTTCCTTTGGCACCGGCAGCATGGCTTGCAAGGAATTAGATCGGTCCACATTTGACATCACTTCCTGGAAACAGCATGAAAATAAAATCTTATGGGCAGGCCAATAGTGGTGGGTGGAGAGTGCTAAGGAAAGGGATGTTGAGGCCATTCATACGTTGCTTCTTCTGCTTCTTCTCCAGTGCTGTGCCAGTGAGTGTCTTCTTACTCTATGGATTTCAGCCAAGGTATAATGGAGGAAGACAGTATCAACAGTATGATTGACTGGGAGGTTTTTGTCTCTGATTCTGGGTAGCAGGCCTACCAGGTTCTTACTGTCTTGAGAGACATCCCTCCTTGTGAAGAAAACTCGTAAACCCTCTCTTTCCCACTCTCCCACCTTCTGCCTGGGTCAAAACCCTTCTTCTTTCCACATATGAAATTATTTCCCACTTACTACTTTAGAGTCATTCCTTTCTCTTAGACACATACACAGAGACACATGTGGTGGGCTGAGATTAAACATGCATTTTGGGCTCCATGAAAAGTGGTAGTGGTGCCATCAATCCAGGGCATCCTTTTGCACTGGCAAAGAGAAGAGTTGTGTTATCTTCCAAGGACTAAGCAACCTTTTGAAAATTGACTATCTGAGAGAGACAGTATCCTCTTTCAGGGGCAAAAATTGGAGGTAATTATGTTACTAAATTAATATATATAGCCTGGAAGACATGGGAGATATATGCAGCTTTTAGCTTTGTATCTGGAATTGTCAAATTTCAGTTTTAAAAAAGTGTTTCAGGATATGGACTTACTCCATATGCTTGATCCACCTTTTTCATATGTGTGCCATTAATGTAATTCTGATGTCAGTCTCTCAGCCAGTTGTAAGGTTTGCTATTTCTATTAGTATTTTGGAACTTTGTAGACCAAGGAATTGTCATCTTCCTCCTGCTCCTCCAAAGTTCCTGGCACAGAATGATTTTTAATCAGACCAACACAGTTCCAAGCCCTGCAACTTGCTGAATGGAGAAACTAATTATTGCAACAAGAATTCCGCAGATGGCGGCAAACATTTATGTTCTCTTCCCAAATATGTGATTAGGAGAGCTGGCCAGTGACACACACACATTTATTAAACTGTGATTATAAATGCTCCTTTGGAGTAATGACAAAACCCTCCACTGTTTGAAAAGGAGTATTACTCAATTCAACCCATCCATTCCCCCTTCTGAGCTTGTCCTTTCTTTCCTAAATTTCCCCAAGCTCTGTGTGCCCCCCTCCCCTCTTTTGGGATTCTCAGACCTAGATCTGAAGGACACTCACACTTATTCTTAGCCAGGCCTGCCCCCTGTGGCCTTTTCATGCTGTTCATCAAGGTAGAATTTAAAGATGTCATACTGGGCCAGTCTCTTGATTTCAATATATTTTTAAAACAAGAAAAAGGAAAAAATCTGTTCAGTCCAGTATATGACTCCTGTTTTACTTCTTGTACGGTTATATCCTATGTGACATTTACCTTCTTTCTCTCTGTTGATACTTTTTGATTTTTAATTTTTTTCAGTTTGTTTCAGCAATCAGTTGTATCATTCCTCTATTATGTTTTTTTTTTAATGTCCTTGTTTAGCTGTTAGATTTGCACTTATTACTTTGTAAAGGGGTTCTGCGTTGGAAGCTTTTAACATACAGTGGGGAAGAATGTCAAAATGTACGGAGGACAATGTTCCTTCCCTCATGCGGAATGCCAGCGGAAGCAGTATTCTGTTCCTGTCTTCTCTGGTTTCTCCTGCAGCATGTGTAAGTTTTTTACAGAGACTGGAGGATGGCAGCAACACGTGACTGCTTCTTGCTAGCCAAACTGCAGCTCCCAGCCTGTCAGCAAAGGCAAACTAAGCTGGCCATTTAAGTAGCCGTGTGAAAAACCCCCCTGCAAAAGACCTATTTATGTAAAAACAATATAAAAGACTCCTCAATTGGCTTAATTTATAGCTGTGGGTTTTAGTGTCACGCATAACTTTCCCTAAAGCACCCATAACAGAACAGTTTCCCCTCCACGCCAGCAATTCGAAAATATTTTAAAAAATAATAATAAAAGAGTTTACATTATTTTCAAATCTTTGCTTGGTGAGTATGAAAAAATAAGTTAACTTGCTGCCGTAATTTAAAGCTTTTTGGGGAGCAGCCGGGGTGGGAAGATTGTTTGGTGGGTAGAATAATATGGGGTGGGTTGTTTTTGTTGTTGTTGGATTCTGAAAGCTGAGATTTTCTTGTGCTGGGAACACATGAAAGTTGCTGAATAGACAAGCAGATTGTGCATGTCTCTGACGCTTTGTATAATTCGTATGTGGACACTTGAGTCTCCGGACAATAAACAGTATTATCAAAGAAAATGGAAACAGGCTCTTTTTGGGTGGCATACACTTTGTTTCTTCTGACAGGCGGCCAATATTCCTGCAGGGCCTCTTAACCTCAAACCAGAAGATTTGAATGGAAGAATGCAGGCAAATTAACGGAGGACCCCTTTTCCTCTTCGTAGCCCCAGCATCAATGGGTTTTAAATTTCCCCTTATTTTCAGTATTTCTCCCATGTCCTTGATGTTCCCTTCCCTTCCCAATCCAAAGTTGGAGTTACCAATTATCTGAGTGATGGTAATTAATTAGTAATCCAGCAATGCTGTTTAATAGTACATCAGGCTTCATACTATATGTATAATACTCGCCCTTCCCTCAGTTTAGCAGGACTGCAAAAATTACAAAAGGGACCTCAGGAATTCTACTTATTCTACTTATTCTTCCTGGAACAACTTAAAACCAGCGCAATATAAAGTGCCCATTTCCAAACAGAGCCAATTGGGTGTAGTGGTTAAGGCACCAAGCTAGAAACTGGGAAACCGTAAGTCCTAGGCCCTCTCTCAGGTCTAGGTGACCTTGAGCCAGTCACCCTCCCTCTGCCCTTGGAAGGAGGCAAGGGCAAACCACTTCTGAAATCTTGCCAAGAAATTGCAGACCTGTCCTGTTACTAGGAATCAAGACTCAAAGGCATACCCCACCCCAATATCATTAGACAGGAATGATCACTAAGAGGTACAAAATACAGAAACAATTTTTGTTTTTGCTTATTATGTAACAATTATCCGGATTCTTGCAGCTCAGATACAATAGCCCTAACTAACTATGCACAATTCCAATTGAAGCTCTCTACATATCTTATGGCAAGGGTGTCAAACTTGATTTCATTGAGAGCTGCATCAGGGTTGTGTTTGACCTTGGAGGGCCAGGTGGGCATGACCGGGTGTGGCCATGGTGGGCGTGGCCAGATCAACATCACTCGTGTCGGGGCATCTGTGGTGGCCAAGTATTAAGGAAGGGCTTCCCTGAAACCCTCCCTCACTCTCATAATCTTCCTTCCTTCCTTCCTTCCATCCCTCTTCATTCTTTCTTCTTCTTTCCCATCTTTCCTTCTTTTTCCTTCCTTGCTCTCTTCCTATCTTTCCTTCTTTTTCTGTGTCTTTCCTCTTTCTCCTCCTTTCCTGTCCCTTCTTGCATGCTCAAATACAAAAGGGGAAACATTTCTCCTTTTGTTTTGTTTTTAGTTTGTTTTGATAGCCTTCTGCCAGCAAAAACAGAGTCTGGCAGAGGGGTCTGGTCTTTTGCTGTTTCCAGGCCAGCCCCGTGGGCCAGATGTAAGCACTCTGTGGGCCTGATGCAGCCCATGAGCCTTGAGTTTGACACCCCTGTCTTATGGAGTTGGAAGAATCCACTGGATTGTTAAAAGGAGTTGAAAGTTCACTACTGCTATTCACAGCTCTAAATAACTTATCCAGTACTAACTTTAGAAGCCGATTTAGCACAGCCTCACCTCATCAACTCTCCCGATTTAGGTATCTGGGAATAAAATTACACAAAGAATAAATTTTGCCTTCAAAGGACAACCATCTACCTTGTGTTGTCTAAAATCCTGATGACAGATCCTCTGAGCACTGCTATGTCCAGTCATTTCAATTGGATTGTCACAGTAGGAGCCGTGATCTGTTCTGTGCAAGACCCTGGCTTCTGGACCGGAAGCCGTCTTGGGAGTGTCCCACCTTCCCCTCCCTTCATTTTCAGTGGTGCTCAAGAACTGAATGAGACAACTCGCTGTGGCCAACTCACTGTAGGACAATTCAATTCAATTGTTTAAAATAATTTTAAAAATTGTTTTAAATGTTGTCATTCACATTTCATTTTGTCCCTCCTTTGGCATCTTTTCTTTAATGATACTACGGTAATCTTCAACTTATAACAGTTCATTTAGTGACCGTTCGAAGTTATAACGGCCCTGAAAAAAGTGACTTATCCATTTTCACACTTATGACCCTTGCAGCATCAAGAAGATCATGTGGTCAAAATTCAGATGCTTGGCAACTGACTCATTTATGAGAGTTGCAGTGTCCCAGGGTCCTGTGATCAACTTTTGCGACCTTCTAACAAGCAAAGTCAATGTGGAAGCAGGATTCATTTAACAACCATGCTACCCACTTAACTGCAGTGTTTCCCTTAACAACTGTGGCAAGAAAGGTCGTAAAATAGGGCAATGTTCACTTAACAAGGGTTTCACTTAGCAACAGAAATTATGGGCTCAATTGCGGTCGTAAGCAGAAGACTACCCGCGTTCCACTATTTCTCCGATATTAGTGTAAAACTCTTGTCCTGTGGCGAGTTGTTCCGCAGCAAGTTGGCCGTGGCAAATTGTCCTGCTGCGAGTGGGCCGCAGCGAGTTGTCGTAGACCCGCTCAAGAGAGTCGGCCAAGGGGCAACTTTTATTCGAAAAGAGTAGCAAAGAGGAGGGAAGGACGAGGGACACAGCGGCCTCTGCTGCCTACCAACAAAGCCGCCGCTTTGCTTGGGCCAAAGTCGACTCAGCCAAGGCGGCGCTGCCTCCCGGAAACGTGCGAAGGGGCAGACGCGCTGCCTTGCGTCAGAGCAGGACGGGTAGGGTTAGCTTTCGTTTCCCCGCCCCGTCGGGAGGCGGATTGGGCCTGGCTCCGCGGCCTAGCAGCTGCGCTCTCGCCTTTCCTTTGCGCTGCGTTGGACACGTGTTGTGTATGCGCACACGCTGGAGGAACGCAGGGACCTCTCCGGATGGTGAGTGGAAAAGGTCGGAACGAGACCGGAGGAGGAGCGCGGGGCGAGCCAGGGGGCCGGTGCAAGGGAGACGGCTTGGGGGCCACGGGGTGTTGGCTGCTCGCGGAGAGCGATCGCTCGGGAGTCCGACTTGCCTGGTTGCGTGACTCTTCCCCTTCGCTTCCCTTCTGCCCCTTTTCGGCACCGCGGCTATTCCTGTGCAGCCCTTGTTGGGCTTCCTCCGGGCCGTGGCTGCTTGGACTGATGGTGCCCGGCGCCAGGGCGAGCGACTTCTGCTCGAATCCCCGGGGCGTACTCGGTGAATCGGAGCCGTGCCAAAGAGGAGCCTCCTCCGCTGTGAGCCCAGGCCCTGCCTGGACCGTCTCCGGCAGGCGACGCATGTAGGTAGGTGCCCTTGCACGAACGCCGGAGGCTCTGGAGCGCCTTGGAATTTTGCTATGGGGGGGGGGGGGGGGGGGCGCCGGATTAACCTCGGTCAAGGATTTCTGGGTTAGGGGAAAACAGCGTGTCTGGTTGTGGGGAGAGGAGGGGGCTGCGCGTGGCTTACCCCAAACTCTCTAGGCACATACTGTGGTTGTTGGGTCTAATGCGCGCGCGCTCTTTGCAAAGGAAGGGAGGTGGGGAAGGACAGAGGGCGAGAGGAGGAAAGAGTTGAGTCCCTTTCTTGTCTCGTCTCATCTTGGAACAATTCGGAGGGTAGACGAAGCATTTTCCCCTTGGAACTGGGACATTTCTGCTGATTCCTTGCAATCATTGCCTTTTGCTAAACGCTGGGCTCGGTTTGGTCTGTTATCTCACAGAGCAACCTCCCTCCTTCCTTTCATCTCGGATAGAGAACCTTTGTGAGGCTGCGCTGGAGAAGTTTGCTTCCAGGCACCCAGTAACATTCTCTTCTCCCCGATGATTCAGTTTCTCCTGACATGCTCTCAGGTGCAAGAATGCGCCTGCAGCTGTGCCTCTCTTCTCTCTCCTCCCTCCCCCCCCCCCAAACTTCCCATGCCGTTTCCTTAGCATCCTTATCTTGTGTGCCCTTGGCTGCCTGGTTAGATGCTGCTACTTGCCAAGTGGGTGAGATTTGTTTTGCAGATGACACCTGGTGCCCTCCAGGTATGCTGTACTTAATTGTCCACTAGCCGGAAATTATGTGATGTAATCCAGCACATCTAGAAGGTCTCAGGTGTGGGAGACTGTTTTGTTAGATAAGTGTGATCCCTCTGTGTTCTAATGGGAGAATGGAAAAAAAAGATGTGAGTGGCAAATTTGAAGCAAGGTAGACTGAGGAAACTTTCCTGACAGCTGTTTATTTTAGGGAGGTGCTCATGTTCAGATAATAGTACGCTTTAATGTGTGGGTGATAGCTGGTTCCCAAAAAAAGAGACACATGATGCAAACCCCCGTCCTTCAAAAACAGAGTACTATATGATTTTTTCCTTCAGCAAGGCCTGTTATATTTATAAGAAGGATTTCATCTATTCAGCCTGGCAGCATGTTTTAATCTTCTATTAGTAGGGACCCTTGGGGTTTTGTAATGGGAAGTAAAACACTTGCCAATCAAACTTAAAGGCAATCCAGGAAATGGTCAGATAATTGTGTGAGCCTTTTTATTTATTTATGCTATTTATATTTCTTGCTATGGCTGCTAATTTATCTGTCTAAAGACTGAGCAAATTTCACACCTCATTAAAGGCTATAATGTGAATTGCATGTTCCAGAGCACAGTCATTTCAGAAAACAGAAATGCATCATTTACAAGTTAATTTCCAGTTAGTTGCAAAGCAACATGAAAGTACATCTAGAGCCTTCATATGCAGCAAAAACCATTATATAATCTAATCCTTTGTTGGGTTTTTGGGGAAAAAATCTGTTTACTGAGTAGAGAATTTTGGATCCAGGGGCTATGAGATGCTAAAGGATACAATAAAGGGCTTAACAATGTAGGTAAAATTTTAGGCTTTTCAGAAATGTGAAAAGTTTTTATCCTATCCTGCCTTTCAAATAAATGTATTTCTAGTTTTTGTCATGGGAATTTTATTCCTGTATCTTAATAGATAGTATGTATTTATCGCTATACATTTCTATTTGAAATTTTACAGTTGGGAAATACGAATTATAGATGTGCTTTGAATTTACCTGATCGTTTATAAAGATTTGATAATCTAAAGATAGATTGGTTTTAGTTTTTTTAACAGAAGCTCTGTTGTGGAAACCAAATACATGTTGATCATGATTTCTAAAGCATCATAAAGTTCATGGCAATTTAAAAAGGTACCTGTCAAGTCCTTATAATACATATTAGGGAATAGGAAGATGAGAGACACAGGAAGCAAAATAGAGGTAGAAGTACAAAAAGAAAGTATCTGGTTGTCTCAATAACATATTTGAGGGTAGATTTTACTACAGTACTGAGATACTGAGCTATCCAGAGCCTGGATAGCTCTGCAGACTAAGCACTGTAATTTAACACCAGCTGTCTGCAATTAAAGTAAGTTCGAATCTCACCAGGCTCAAGGTTGACTCAGCCTTCCATCCTTTCTAAGGTAGGTAAATTGAGGACCCAGTTTGTGGGGGCAATAAGCTGACTTTGTATAAAAATATACAAAAGTATGAAGGCTATTGCTTAACGCACTGTAAGCCGCCCTGAGTCTCCGGAGAAGGGTGGCATATAAATCAAATTTAAAAAAAAAAAAAAAAGAGGGCTGAGCTGGAGGCATTTGATTTTGAGGTCAAAAAATCTTTTTTTGCAGAGCGAAGTTGCCTTGCTAGGATGGTGGTTGTTGCCTTTACCAAGTGATGCACCATGCCAATAGTGGACAAATTAAAAGAAGCCCTAAAGCCTGGGCGAAAAGACTCTGCTGACGATGTTGAACTCGGTAAATTGTTGGCAGCTTCTGCCAAGAAGATTTTGCTGCAAAAGATTGAGTTTGAACCAGCCTCCAAAAACTTCTCCTACCAGCTAGAGACCCTCAAGAGCAAGTACGTTTTGTTGAACCCAAGGACAGAAAACTGCAGTCGGCACAAGAGCTCTGAAGAGGGACCCATACGAAAACAAGGTGCCCGCCTCGTTTGTTGTACTTGTCTTTTGGAGAATGAGTTCTTCATTTGTTTTTGAGTTGCTGACTTCTCCTTTTTTTCTTCTGACAGGTAATGAGCATGTGTCAGGAAGTGATGGGGTGCCAGCTCCCCAAAAGGTCCTCTTCCCTCTGGAGCGACTCTCTCTAAAATGGGAGCGGGTGTACCGTGTTGGAGCTGGTCTCCACAATCTGGGCAACACCTGCTTCCTCAACTCAACTCTACAGTGTCTGACGTACACCCCACCTCTAGCAAATTATCTGCTTTCCAAAGAGCACAGCCGCAATTGTAAGTGTGTGGCTGAGTTTGTGTGTGTTTTGCAGTGCTGTATGCACCCACTTGTTCATATCTCTGTCAGGGTTCCAAGTAACACCCCAACAAAGAAAACTCCGAGGTTTGAGCTTCCTCAAAGTTACACTTGATTAGAGATGTCATATTAGCACATCTGGGAAAACCCGAATCTGAAAGTTTCCAGGTTTTCCCCACCCAGAGGAAAGTTCAAGTCCCTGCCCAACACCCACAAGTCCATCACATGGTCCAATCAAAGCACTGTCCCAACTGAAGATGCCTCCCAGTTCCAGCCTTCCAGGTGCAGGGCAAGTTGTCCTTGACTCTCTGAGAAAGGAATGTTATTATGACTATATATCACCCATGCTCCATACAATCCCCCCTCCCAATTTCCCACAGTAGTAAATGTGGTAGGTCTGAAGGCCCAGTGCAAAAGATGGCTTCCAGGCCTGACAATCTCTTTTTTCCTCAGAGCAAAGGCTATAGGAACAACCTGTTTCATTTTCCAAGGCCTATGAAGGATGAAGTTCTTAAAAATATAAGGTTATAGCTGGCGGAGCAGCCCAGGGAAAATGAATGGTCAGGGAATGAGGCATTTAGAGGGTACATGTGCACAACATGTAAGTCTGTTAAAGCATAACCTCATATATGATATTGGAAAAATCTTACCTGTCTTTTGGTGTGTGTTGAGGGAATTGGAAGGGATTGGATGGATTCAGGGCTGCTTCTAGTAAGCTACTCCTTTCTCATCCCCATTATTACTTTTAGAGCATCGATGCAGGCAGAATTACTATCCCCAAAACTAGAAAATTATGGTCTGGTTTTGCTTCTAACACGATCTTATCAATCCCATGGGCATAGGATCCCCAATTGGAGTTCATCTTCCATGCATTGTGGGAGGAAGTTATGCCCTTTTACATTACAGGATTGTAGTAAGGATCATAGCAAGATCAGGCAGGTAAAAATATTTGACCACTCAGAAGCGTTGTTCAGACGATTATGATGTTATTTATTCCAAAATATAATTTCAAATTCTATAATTCTGCCCATTTGATGTGGAAATCTCCCCCCCCCCCAAAATCGGAGCTTATTTTTTGAATTGCTCTACAATTTATAATTACAAATTTCTGATTCCTCTATTCTGATAGTGTTTTGAGGAAAACATTAGGATTTTTCCAATATCATATATGAGGTTATGCTTTAACAGACTTACCTGAGAAGAATCTCAATGTGTTTAAGATACTAGGAAGTATCTTAAATAGTTTTCCTCTTAAGAAAATGTTATATAATGAAGTTAGGCTGTGATTTTAGATTCTGCTGCATTTGAGGTTTTTTTTGTTTAGGATTTGGATATGTTTGATTACTGGGGCCTTTGATTTCTGTAACTGAAATCTAGGAGCAGTGCTTCTTGTGACAAAGAATTACTTTGAACCCAATTGTAATACAG